CCCCCACCCTCACCCACCCACCTCCGCCCAATCCGACGCCCTTGCCCCCCCCAATACACACACTCAGGCTGTGATCAAGCCGCAGTACGTGGACCACATCCCCAAGGCTGTGCGCGGCAACGTGGGGGAGGTGCTTGACGGCAAGGACCAGCGCGGGGTCAAGGCCAAGCTGCTGCAGGACCTGGACCTGGAGCAGGTGAGGGGGGCAGCGCCTGTTTTTTGTGTGTGGTTGTTATTGTGTGTGTGTGTGTGTGTGTGTGTGTGTGTGTGTGTGTGTGTGTGTGTGTGGCGTCAGGGGCGCGCGTGCGCCACCATGTGAGTGGCTGCGTGCGTGCATGCGAATGCGCTCATGCATCTGGGCGCAGTTCGAGGGTTTAGCGGCGTGGCGCGTGGCTGTGGGTGCACCTCGAGGGCATGTTGTGTGGACGCAAGTGCTGCGGCGACCCTCGAGGCCCTATGGAGGGAACAAGCCAGCGCGCATCTGCTCGCAGGCGAAGCTGTTTTTTTGCACGCCTTTTTGTTTCAACACATGCATTGACCCAGTATCCGTGCGTGCTTTCGCACGTCCAAGTCAACTGGCGCTCGACTGCATTTCGATTCAAGCGGTGCTCTGCGTCCCCCCAAAAACCCAGGTGCTGGACCGCAACGTGGAGAACCTGTCCGGAGGGGAGCTGCAGCGCTTCGCCATCGCCGTCGTGTGCGCGCAGCAGGTGCGCAGGGAGCCGCCGCCCCCCGCCTTCCCCCCTCCCCCCTCGTTGCCCTGGGCGCCCCGCACGGGGGCCGCCTGCAACGCCGCTTTCAGGCTTGCATTGTCGGTCAAGCCACCCCCATCCCGCTGTCTGGGCCGCCGTGGCGCGGCCCCGTGACACGTGCGGCCGGCCAGCCCCTGGCAGCGCCCCACTCGCTGCCGAGTGCCAGCAACAGCATCAGCTTGTTGTCGCACAGGATTGGACCGCGGCGGCCGCAACGGACCCACATACGCGTCACACGTTGCTCCGGCCCCCAAACTGGTCCGTCCCCCCCCAGAACTCCTGCAAGCACCCGTCCAAACCCGTCGAAACCCCCTCTGACCCCCCTTCCTCACAACCCCCTGAAGCCCTCTTGCAAAACCTCAAATTCCTCGAAACCCCTCAAACCCTCACATGCACCCATGTCATCCCTCACAACCCCCTCTAAACCCCTCTCAAATCCCCATCAACCCCCCCGTTCACAACCCCAGGCTGACGTGTACATGATCGACGAGCCCAGCTCATACCTGGACGTGCGGCAGCGGCTCAAGGCGGCGCAGGTGCGGCCCCCTGCCCTCGGCTGCCAGCGCCGCCGCCTGCCGGCCTCAGCTGCCCGGCAGAGGGCTCCCTTCCTGTCGTGCCCCGCCCGCGGCCATTGGGTGCTGCGGTTGCGCCGCCACACGCTGACGCGCGCTCCTGGGAGCCGCTGTGTGCGCCGGCGCCGCGACTCCCCCCTGCCAAATATGCGTGACCCCACCCCAGACCATCCCGCGACCTACATACCCCCTCCCGACCCCGGCTCTCGCACTGTATAAAACATCTCATCCCCACCTCAGACCATCCGCGAGCTGCTGGACATCAAGAACTTTGTCATTGTGGTGGAGCACGACCTCAGCGTGAGTCACCGCGAATGAACTTCTGTTACCCTGCTCCACCCATCATCGTTGTGCGGCCACGCTGCTCCCCCTTCCTCGCAGCAAGCGTTGCCGGCATCGCCCGCCTCGATTTGCGTCTTGGCGCCCCCTTGTTCGCGACAAATTGAGTTGCTCGCCAACCTTGATTCCCTGATTTTTCGCACAAATGACCAGTCCAGCAGACCCACCCCAAACAAACACACACACACACACACACACACACACACATACAAACTACATACGTCCACACACATACACTTATCTCCCCCATACCCCCCCCCAGGTGCTGGACTACCTGTCTGACTTCATCTGCTGCCTCTACGGCAAGCCCGGCGCCTACGGCGTCGTCACGCTGCCCTTCAGCGTACGCGAGGGCATCAACATCTTCCTCGCGGGTGGGCAGCTTTTGACTTTGTATAACTTCTACATTTATTTATTTTATTTGTTTTATAGTTTTACCAAAATTTTTTGATGAATTTCTCTGTGTATGAATCTACACACATTGACATCAGATGCATACAGAATTTTGGTGTATGGGGCTGCCAAGGAAAACTTCCAAGTCTGCAGGGGATTTTGCGGCGTGGCACGACGCAACATGATGCGGCTGGGTGGAGGATATCGTCTTTGGGCATGGCGGGGCGGCGTCGCTGACGCAGCGCCAGCTTTTCTTCCAGCAGCCCGCGGTGCCTCCGGCCTCGTCCTGTTGACTGAACCCTTTGTCTTCATCTGGCCCATTGGCCCCGCTTCATGCTGCGACGCACACAAACACACACGCACACACACGCGCG